CCCCGCCCACTGACCCCCGGCCTGGCCCACTGAGCCCTACCCAGTCCCCGCCCACTGACCCCCGGCCTGGCCCACTGAGCCCTACCCAGTCCCCGTCCACTGACCCCCGGCCCGGCCCACTGAGTCCTACCCAGTCCCCGTTCACCGACCCCCGGCCCGGCCCCGCCCCCGTCCCGTCCTTGCCCACCGAACCCCGGTCCCTAGCCACTGACCCCCGCCTCATTCCCCGGAGCCCCACCGTCGGCGCCATGGACGCTTGTTTACCGTCTGCGGGACGCCGCCCCGGACAGGATGTCGGCTGCCGACTGGCCAGGCCAAAACTCCTGGCCTGAGGCTGAGGTCGGCGGCCAGGACGCTGCCCAGAGCAGCAGGTAGACGACGCGGAGCGCCGCCATGGCCCCGGGCGGCCACGCACTTCCGGCGACTGCGCCCCGCCCCGGAAGCGCACATTTGCCCCGTCTCCACGGAGCGCGTCATCTATAGCCATGGCAACAACTAGACGCCAGCTCCGCGCATGCGCCCGGCATCCTCTAAGGGGGCGCGACCCGCGCATGCGCGGAGCTCTTCGCCCACGCCGGGGCGATGCGGCGCGGGAGGCGGAGCGCAGCCTGGGGCCCGGTCCACGCCCGGCTTTGCCCCACGCGGGTGGCGGCTGCTCACGCAGGCGCTGGCCCCGCGTCCTCATCCTGCACTGGGCGGTGGGCGGTGGGCGCGCCGGTGCTGTCTGCGGGCGCCGCGAGTTCCGCCAGGCCCGACCAGCTGGACAGGCGGGGAGCCTGCGGTGGCGGGGCCATGTGTCGGGAGGGGCGGGGCCGTAGCCGGGGAGGGGCGGGGCCGGACCGGAGAGGGCGGGGCCACGCGCTGGGAGAGGCGGGGCCGGACCGGAGAGGGCGGGGCCACGCGCTGGGAGAGGCGGGGCCGTGGCCAGGGAGGACGGGGCCACGCGCTGGGAGGGGCGGGGCCGGACCTGGGAAGGCGGGGCCGTGGCCGGGGAAGGCGGGGCCGGGCGTGGGGAGTCCGGCGTGCTGGGCGTGCAGTGACTGGCAGGTCCTGGCAGCGGACCGGGGCTGCTGTCCGAAAAGGCCGCGTCTCTGAGTATTGAGCGTTTGCACGCCCTCCTTGGGGGCGTCCGGAGCGGGGTGTCCCGCACGCAGAGCAGACCCTGGGGGCTCCGGTGGCCTCTGCTCGGGTCCCCGGGGCCGCCGGCAAAGCCTGGGTCTGGCAGGGGACCCGGGGCCGCGGCGTCGCCGATGCGGTGCAGCCCCGGACAGCGACACTGGGCGAGCTCCTTGGAGGGTGAAGATGACCAGACCGGCACCAAAAAAGAGGAATGTGCATTGCTCTTCGTCTGTTAAATAAATGAATGGCAATCAAGTTTGTAATCCAGCATCCCCAGGCCCAGGAGGCCAAGGGCGAATCCTGCCAAGACGAAATAATACCGATCCTGCCACCCAGAGCCTGGGGAAGGGTTCGGTACCCTGACGGCAAAGCCGGATCAAGACATCGCGAGAAAGGAGAACTGCAGGCCGGTGTCTTCCTGAACCTAGACACGGATCCATTTTAAAGTGAGCATGGGACCTACGTGGATCTACGTGTCTATGCGAAGCAGAAGTCAAAATACGTGATCGTGATTTACAGACTGTTGTACAGCTGCAGTCGTCCAGGCAGTGTGGTGTTGGCGACAGGACAGACTCCTGGCCCCGCGGAACAGCAGAGATCCCAGCGAACCCAGGAACATATGCACCAAATGGCGCTGGAGCAACTGGACGCCCGTTTGGAAAACAGGAATCTCAGTGGGATGGAAAATCATGAGCCTTAAAGGAGAAAAAAAGATAAGTTGAATTTCATCAAAAAGTAAAACTTTCTGGTTTTCTGGTCTTTGAAAGATACCGTTAAGAAAATAACACTGCAAGCTGTGGGGGGGGGATAATTCAGAATGACGTGTCTGACGAAGGGCTTGAATCTGGAATACATGACGATCTTTCAGAATTCAGGACTGTGGTGAGAGAGCGGTGGACGGCCCGGTTCAGAAAGAAAGGTGCTCACATGGCCAGTCAGCACAGGACAGAGTGCTCGATGTCTGTGAAAATCAGAGAAATGGAGTTGAAATCACGAAGGGATGCCGTCACCCACCCCCTGGAAGGGTGACATTAAAAACTTTGAAGGTAGCAAGCGTTGGTGAGGAGTGAACAGCTGAACTCTCACGCCATCGACAGGAACGTAGGTGGCGCGCCCCTTTGGAAGTCACTTTGACAGTTTCTGTTCTGTCTTGGCTGAACCCGTGGCTAGAATCGTCCCAAAGGTGGCAGTGGGGAGTTGCCACCAGGAAGTGCCCCTGAGTGTCCAGAGATGGGCTTGTTGGGATTCCAAAGAAAGAAGCGCCAGAAGCCATCTGTTAGGGGAACTTGGGGACAGAGAGGGCTGCAGCCCGTTGTCCTGACACACAGCATTGTCCTGACACACAGCCGGCAAAGGATGGGCCACCTTGTCTGTCCATGGCAAGGGGTCAGGTGTGGAGTTTATGTGAGGGTTTAAGAAATCTGGGCGAGATCTAGTTTCTTTCAGTGTTTCGGGCAACAACCTAAACACCCTTACCAATGCCTGGGAGTGTTCGCGCCTGCAGGGAAAACGTGCGGCCTCGCAGCAGTGCTGCTCGTCAGGACCCAGAAAGGGGGGTGGGGTGCATGCAGCCTCTGGGGACCTCGGCGTCCCAAGGACGGGGCAAGATGTTTGCCTCAGCCCTGCGTGGTCGTCCCCGCCAGGAACCACAGCACCGCCTGGGCCACCACTGCAAGGACAGCCAGTCCCTGTCGGCAGGACTGTGCCCTCACAGTGCGGGCATTTCCATGCCAGCTGACTTTGGAAGAGCAGCTGTCACTTCTGTGTGCGGATACTGCGCTTTAAAGACTGAGTGTAGGGATGTAGGGTGTACTCTTTCTCTTGCCCTGGAGCTGGTGATGGCCCGAACAGAAAGCAATTCGCCATGTAAAGAGCCGTGGAACACTCCGAAACCCAAAACCAGAAATCAGGCAACAAACTGAACCAGAGCGGCCACGCCCCTGCGCGGCCAGGCTGCCCCCGCCCAACCCAGGGGATCCTGCGGACCCAGCGCCACCTCCCAGCGGGGCACCGTGGGCATATCGGGCCGTCACTACTGGGTGGGCTGCTGAGAGTGAACACACGGGAGGCCCCTGCTCCATGTCTAAGGGGCCGAGTCCATTCTCAAGACCAGGTTTGCTCCAGCCCCGGACTCTCCTGCCCATCCTGGGGGTCTTGTTTCTTCCAGGATGAAAGAGGCCCCCGCCCCCCCCTCGCAGGAAGCCATAGCAGCGCTACTGCCCACCCCCTGTCACCCGAGTGTGGAGGGAGGCGCCTCCTGCCCTCTTTCTCCTCCCTCCTCCCTCCCTTCCCCTCCTGTCTACACCAGCCTCCTTCAGGCTTTGGGGAGTTCTTTACTGGCCCCCGGATTATGTTCTTGCCAGGAATGACCTAGGAGAGGTTTTATGTGTCTTTCATTGGAGAGAAAAGAGTCTTTACAGGAATAACTGGAAATAGCCCCATTTTCCCCCTGCGGGGGCCAGCGATTAGGTTGATTTCCTGGTGCAGAAGAGGGGGCCCGCCAGCCTGGGCCCACGCCCTAAGGCAGCTCACTGCGCCCGGCCCACCTTGGCGTCGCTGCCACTAGAGGGCAGGCGAGCCCTTCGCTGGCGCCCGGGGTTGGGACGCAGGAGACTTAGGGGCAGGATCGAGTTTGACAGCCCGTCCTGCACTTGCCCAAAGCGGGGTTGGTGGCAGGGAGCCCAGGAGTGGCGGGTGGCTCAATGAGCCACCAGGGCAGGCCTTGGGCCTCTGCGACCCCTATCCAGCCTCCCCCAGGGGGGAAGCAAGATCCATTTGGCCTCTGGCCCAGGCGGTTTGTGGGTCCTGGGCCACCCCTAGTGAAGGCCACACTTTGATCCCGTTGGGCCCTGGGACATCAGCTACCCCCACAGGGGGGTCAGTGTGGGAAGCCCAGGTCCCCAGCCCCAGGAGGAGCCCTTAGCCCTGCGGTGGGACACGGAAGTGGCCACCAGGCTTCGGGGGCAGATCTTGCCCGAGCCTGGCTGGCGCAGCAGCGATGTCCCGGGAGTCTCCAGGAGAGAGGCAGATTCTTCTGGGAGCTGGGGCAGACCCCGTCTGGGTGGGGACCGGTGGGGACCTGCGGGGGCCGGGTGAGGGGGAGGGCCTGGAGCTCCAGGCGTCCCAGGAGCCCTGTTCACACACACCTGGGGGTGGCAGGGGAGGGGGCACGGGAGCCAGTGCTGCCCTCTTGGGTCAGCGGTAACAGCTGGGGCAGGGAAAGGCGGTTGGGGACATCACCACTGCCCTGAGACCACCCCGCCAGGGAGACCGGGAGGCCGGCGGTGGTGAGGGACAGGCTGGGGACAAGCTTGGCTCCGCTGGGGGTGGCACAAGGGAGCAGACAGCAGCTGGCCCTGCCTGTCCCTGTGCTGGGATCTGGGCCCTTGCTCATCGCTGTCCCCTGTCTCAAAATCCTGGCTTTTGTCCCTGGAAATGCACAGGGAGGGGACTGCTTTGTGAGTCACCGGCAGGGCAGGCAGTTCCGGTTTGTGGCTCAGAAGGAGTCCTTAGCGGGAGCCTGTGGCCGCCTGCCAGGACTGCCCACGGCCGGCCCGGCCAGCTCTGCAGCTGAGGAGGTGCCACAGGCCCCAGGCCCCCAGGTGACGGAGACAAGATGGTGCCGTGGTCTCCTGGGGCCTGGGGATTCTCAGGGAACTGCCTGTGGTCAGCACATGGGACCAGCACCCCAGGTGGTGGGTGGCAGAGCTGGGCCTGCCCCCCAGGGCAAGGGCTGCCCAGCGCCTGCCGGGACTGGTCCGGGGGCCCACGGTCTGCAGTGAGAGCTCGACCCGCCTGAAGGCCTGGCCAGACCACCTGCCCTGGAGGCAGGACCCCAGCCTTCCACCTGGGGCGCACGTGGACACCTGCCCCGGACACGTCCCAGCGGTCCCATGGGGGAAGCACAGCCTGGGCTGTGGGTCACATGGGCAGGAAGGGCCCAGGGTGGGGCTGGTTCAGGGTGGGGACCTGCCTCAGAACTCCCTCGAACTTGGGCTTCCCCGCCTGACCTTTGCTTGGGACGCGAGTGACTGTCCATCCCGGCACGGTGGGAAGAGGCTGCTGTCACCTCTGGCCGTCCCCTAAAACGGAGGCTCCAGGAGAGAAACTGCCACATACCAGTTATGAAAACAAAGACGGGCCACCCAGATGTACTGGGAAGCTCTGAAAATCATTTAAAAATGTCCTGGGTCCGAATTTGGGCTTTAGGTCAGACATGACCAGCTCTTGACCCCTGCCCTGTCTGATCCCCCAGAGGGGTTTTCATCGAGGGGAGGGGCGGCTCTCCCTGTAGGGGAGCAGAGCTGTGGGG